CCTGCCTACTGGCCCCAGGCCGTGTGCTGCGCTGCACTCGGGGTTTGGAGGTGCTTTGCGAAGTGGGGTGACGGCGGCAAGGTCTGTGTCCCCACGCACCCCTGCAGCCTCTTCTCGCCTCGTGGTCTCCGGCAGCGGGTGGGGTGAGGGACACGGCTGACCATAGTTTAAAATGTCTTCAGGTGGTGTGTGCACACAGGCTTCCACTGGGGCCAGGAGTGTCAGGGCGGGAGAGGCTGCGAGTAACAGCTGGCTGCACCGCATGTGAGAGGGCAGGTGTGGCAGGCCAGCACGGAAGGCACGCCGAACTTTGCGAGTTTTCTGTTATCGAGGCCAGCATGTGGCGTGGTGGTTAAGGGCACTGGACTCCCACATGGCCAACCATGGTTTGAGTCCTGGACCTGGCGGCTTGCTTTCTCACTCTAACCCCGCCACCCTCTCACTTTGTCCCTCTCTGGTCAAATTTAAATAAATAAATTAAATTAAAATAATTCTTCAAAAAATTTTAAAAATAAAAAGAAATGTCCCGTTATCGTGTTATGTCCCACATGCATAGCTCACACACGGCAAAAGTAGGGCCAGCAGGCGGAGTGGGGTTAAAGTGCCGGGCGCCGCATGGCGGGCCGGAGGGCTCGGAAACCACAGCGGTGCGTGTGGGCCTGCCAGGCGACCGAGAGGACAGTGGGGAAGGGCCTGAGCGGCCGTCCCCGCTGGGTGCTCGCCATCCCTCTGTGCCTCTCCAGCAAGTGCACATCCGCTGGCAAAGATCGAAGGGAAAAAGCTGGTGTTTCTCAGGTCTGGACTTTGAGGTCAGCAATGGCACCGGGCCGGTCGTGGGGAGCTGGAGAGTGGCCCAGCTCACTCTGGGCTCGGCGGCAGTTACCACGGCCTTTGTAGGGATTTCTTTTCCGTCTGAATACTTTTACGATCTTTGAACAGTGTTCATTTCTCCTTTTCAAAAGACTTATGGGGGGTGGCAGGCGGCGTGGTGGAGGCGCTGGACTCCCACCTGCTGACCGAGTCCCGACCCTGGCAGCTTGCTTTCTCTCCTCTCGTCAAATTACAAGAAAGTCAAGTAAAATAGTTATTAAAAAAAATAATTATCGGTGGGAACCAGCAGTTAGCGTAATGGCTATGTCGCTGGACTCCCACGTAGTCGACCGCGGTTCGTGTCCCGGACCCAGTGGCTTAAAAATCACGCCGGGCGGTGTGCGTGCGTGCCCAAGATCCTGAGAGGAGAATGGAGGAGAAGGGATTGTGGCGTGACCATCCCCCCTGGGGAGTGATTTCTTGCTTTCTGTCTCTATGTCTCTGTCTGGCGAGCGCATGCGCCCTACAGTGAAAATCTCTCAAAAAAAAAAAAAAAAATCGGGACCAGCAGTTAGCGTAATGGCTGGTGACGGTGGCCCCTGTTGTCGCCAAGCCCCAAACCCAGTGGCTTAAACTCACGCCGGGTGTGTGTGCGCCCAAGATCCCGAGAGGAGAATGGAGAGGGGATTGCGGCGTGGCCATCCCCCCTGGGGGGTGATTTCTCGTTTTCTGTCTCTCTTGTGAGCGTAGTGCCCTATAGCAAAAACCTCTCAAAAAAGAAAAAGAAAAGATTTTTTCTTTAAAAAAATATTTTACTTATTTAAATTTGACCAGAGATAGAGTGTGAGAGAGTGAGAGAAATAGAAGTGAGAAAGCCACGGGTCCAGGACTCAGATCATGGTTGTCCCTGTGGGAGCTCAACACCCTTAACAACCTCACCTCCTGCTGCCCCTATGTCAATCCACCAGAGAGGGAGGGGAAGTCAGGCTGCAGATCTGCACTCGGCCGGTGGCCGCATGGGAGTCCAGCACCTTAAGCACCATGCGGCCTGCTGGCCCCGTTCTTTTACCCATCCTGACTGGGACCTGGGACCCATTAGGATGCCTGGATCTGAGAGCCGATGACCAGACACGTCTGGAGACCTGAGGCTGCTCTCCCCTCATACTGTTCTCAGGAAAGCCAGCCCTGCTGAAGGGCCCTCTCCCGCATCCACCCTCTTATGGATGAGAGAAGAGAAGGGGACGCGGGGGCGGCTCTTCTCGGTGGAGGCTGTGCTGAGTTTTCTTTTTCTTTTTTTTCTTTTAACATTTACTTACTTTTGGTATTTTTTAATTTGATAAGAGGAAAGACACCAACCCACCAGGTCCAAGAGTTGAACTGTGGTCAACCACGTGGGAGTCCAGCATCTTAACCACCATGCCACCTGCTGGTGTCTTGAGTCCTTTCTATACTCTTTCTACTCACTAGATAGATCTTAGATTGGGCTGAAAAAAGCTTTTTAAAAAAATTAACATTTCACCATATTGTGTTCACTCTCTGGAGAGACAGCAAGGGACAGTGAGAGAAGCCCCGGGAGGATGGCCACGCTTGAATCCCTTCTCCTCTTGGGACCCAGGGCATGCATGCACACATGCCTGGCATGTTTTCCAGGCCTCGGGGCCAAGACTCAAAGCACACAATAGGTCCTATGGGACCCAGTGCCTTCACTGCGCCACCATCGGCCCTGGGCCTGACCTCTGTGTAAAAGGTTGCATTTTGGAACTGTCACTTTATGCTCGGCTCATTTCAATGCTCCTCATGGCTCTTTAGTTGATTATCTATTACTTCCTCCAGTGAGCTCAGAAGCAGCACCCCATGGGTGCTGGGACCCCTCCCAGCCTCACCTGCGAATCAGTCATGTGCCAGGTCTCAGTGAGGACGCAGAGCCTCTCTGTGTGGGTCAGTGTGGACTCGTGTTTTCACCAGTGCACCAGCTGCTCCCCCAAAGTTTACCACGCAAGCAAGACTTGACCTTCCAGCCTGTGGGTGTGTGTTCAGGTCGACCTGGGACCTAAGCCGTGTGCCCTGCCCTCCCATGTGGCTCTGGCACTGCGCCTATGACAAAAATGTATTATTTTGAAAACTTTGCTATAGGGCACATGTGCTCACCAGACAGAGACAGAGAAAATGAGAAAGCAGGCTGCCAAGTCCGGGATTTGAACCATGGTTTGCACATGGCAGTCCAGCATTTTACCATGCCGACTGGTCCCTGAAATGTTTAAACTTTTTTTTGCCGTAGGATAATGAGAAATCACCCTCAGGGGGATGGCCATGCTGCAACCCCTTCTCCTCTGTGGGCTTTGGGCAAAATCCCCATGCGCCCTTTAGCGGCCAGGTCCAGGCCTTGAACTGTGGTCAGCCGCGTAAGAGGCCAGTGCTCTCACCACCATACTTGCTGGCCTCACTGCCTGTGATTTTTTTTTTTTTTTTGTAGACGTTTTTGCATCAGGGTGTGTGCGCTCACCAGAGAAAGACAGAGAAGGAAAGTGAGAAATCACCCCTGTGCGGGGGGATGCCATACTGCAATCCCTTTTCCATTCTCCTCCTGAGATCTTGGGCATGCATGCACATGTGCCTGGCTTGAGTTTCAAGCCACTGGGTCCAGGCCTTGAACCATGGTGGGCCCTGTAGGAGTCTAGTGACAACATAACCACTAGGACATTTGCTGGCCCCCTGCCTAAGCATGTCCGTTTGGCCAGGTGGGAGCTGGGGTGGTTGCAGGCAGATGGGATTGGCACATGGGAGCTGAGGGGCAGGGCTGACCCAGATGCAGGCTATGGAGAGGCTGGGGCGGGGCTGCCAGTCCGGGCTCTGCTGAGGCAGGGAGGACCCTGACGCTAGAGGAGGGAACCCACAGACAGGGCTTAGGCGTCGAAGGCCTGGCGGTGGAGTGGAAGGGGGAAGGCGTATCCAAGAACCAGGGACAAGGTGGCTTGGTGAGACTTGGGGTGCTGAGGGCAGGTCCCCACAGGCTGGTCTAGCCATTGCACCTCCAGGCCATCGACGCCCTTTCCTACCCAGGAATCTGAGGATGGGTTTTGCTCTGGCTGACCTGGGACCCCTGCGTGGTGGGAAGGTAGGCCCCAGGCCTGTAGAACTCCTCCTCCCTCCAGGCTGTGCACCCAACCTCTTTGAGAACCCAGGTCCCTGCACTCCACACACACCTGCATCAGGGCCTGGACTGCAGCTGTGCAAGGCTGCGGCATGCTGGCTCTGGTAGGAAGCCCCTGTGGGCGGGGCTGGCAGTGCCCACCCTGGCTGCAGGGGCAGGCCTGGAAGCGAGAGGGAGACACGAGCTTGCGACCCAGCCTCTTCCTGAGCCCCGCACTCCCCCTTTGCAGAAGCAGCTGAGTGGAAGTGCCCTTTCCCCACCCTCACCTGGGCCAGGCCAGGCTGTGTACAGGTAAAAGAATGTCGAAGACCTTGGGCACCTCAAGTCCCGTGGGTCAGCTTGGGGGATTCTCTGTCCTTAGATGCCTGGGTCGACAAACCTTCCTGGGCACAGGGTCCTCCCACACCACCAGTCACCATCAGTCTGCCCTGGCCCATCTGGCTGCTGCAGGTGGGGGTCCACGTGGCTTCTAGACTGGGCTGCAGAGAGGGGCCGGCAGGCCAAGCTCTGGCCTCTGAGGACCTGCTGGGCCAATTCTGATGGTAGGATGGCTTCCTGGCTGTGGGTGGACTCAGGTCCTCAACCCCATCTGGGCGCTCCCAGCTCCATCTGCCAAGACACCTTGTCTTGCTGCCCTGGTTTGAGGGAGTGAAGCTGCCTGGGACCTCCTGTGCTCGGTCACCACAGAGGGCTCCCAGAACACCCTCGTCCAGCTGGGACGAGGGGGGTGTTCAGGCCAGCAGGACGCACGTGCTCCACGCCCTCTGCTGGCCGTTACCAAAGGTGCAGCTCAGTGGTGCCAGCCCCTTCAGGACACCGGGCAGGGGAGGAGGGAGGGGCCGGGAGAGTTGTGACTCAGGAGACAGCCTCACAGCCCCTTAGGTCTGGATGCTGGTAGACAGGAGGGTCCCACTGTCCTGCAGGGCCCACCCTGGCCAGCCCTGCCCTACAGTCCACCAGCAGCTGACCGCCCAGGCAGTCTCAGTGAAGGAGGGCCAAGTACTGGCTGGCCCCGGAGGCCCGGGCCTGTGCCCCCGGGCTAGATGAAGGTGGAGTCCAGAGGCCCGGCGTCCTGCTGGCTGAGGGCACGCGCCTCGAACAGCTGCTGGATGAGGGTGGCCTTCTCCCGCTGCAGCTGGGCGATGCGCGCGCTCTTGGCGGTCACCTCCTGGGTGGGCAGGCAGGGACAGGAGGGAGGGTCAG